TTAGCCTAGTGAGCCGTGGTGCCGGCCTCAAATGTTGATTCTTAAACTTCAGTGCATATAAGAATTTTGAGAAGCTGCTGAAAGCTAGATTCTTAAATCTCATTCTCAAAGATTCTTATATTTTATATCATTTCCTCTTCTTCATCCCCAATACTACTACCTTTTTTGCAAAATAATTTTAGGAAAAATGAGACATACTAGGGACTTGGCACTGCAATGATGTTACTTATAGAGAAAGAACACAAAGGGAAGCAGCTCTGTTCTTCCCTGCTCCATTCCCAATTTCTTATTTGTTTCAGTAAATATTTATGGTGCATCTACCAGGTGACAGACAGTTTTCCAGATCCTGGAGTTCCAATGGTGATGTACAAACATTTTGCTGTCACAAGGCTTATATTCTCATTGTGGGGAGGATACTCAATGGAGAAGTAAACTTTGAGATGATTTCTGATACTGTTAAGTATTCTAAGGAAAATAAAGCAGACTAGTGTGATGAAGAGTGACTGTAGAGGAGGGAACTGTTTCAAAAGTGTGGTCCAGAAGGGGATGACATGTGACCTGAGAACCAAATGACCAGAAGACACCAACAGAACAAAAGACCTTGGGGAACAGCTTTCGAGGAAAAGGGAAGAGCAAGTGCAAAGGTCCTGAGGCAGAATGAGGATGAGAAAAAGTCAGCAAGCTTGGAATTCAGAGTGAGCCAATTTAAACTCTTCTATTAGGTACAGGAAGATGGAGGTATCTTGGGATTACCCTTGTGGGAATCCACAGCAATGTTCCTGGATGTCATAGAAATATGAACTCTTCTATTAGAAGCAAATATATTACAGCAACTCCTCTCCTTGGGGGAAATAGTTCATTTCATGATTCCTTTTGGTTGATATTTAGTAGTAGTAGGATTCATCATCATTAGCAAATTATATCTTGTGCTACCCAAGTACTGAAAAATAGATCACTTGAATTTCTTTGAGATCCAAATGATTTCTCATTTATTGGCTGACTCAAATACCATAAATAGGGTCTACTAAATGGTGTAAATGTGTATTTGAGAATTCATATACTTTTCTAAAGAAAAAATATGACTACTTTTAAAATAAGTTCTATGGTATATGTCTTTTTCTGGTTTGAGATGATTATTTAATTCTGGCATCATCGCTTGACATCTACCAAAGATTAACACTAATACTGCTACCATAAGTGGTTCTGATCTGTCTGAATAGCTGAGTACCTAAGGAAAGAAAGGCTCAAGGACAAACATATTATTGGTATGTGGTTAAATCCATCCCTGGGGACCACTTCTAAAGTGAAGAGATACCTGCTCAGCTACAGACCCCACTGACACTGCCCTTCCAGAAACTAATTCAGAAAAGACCAGTGCAGGTTGACAGTAGGCCCTCTGCAATAAGGGCCTGTCCACTGGAAGTGGGAATCAGCGCCCAGTCATAGGGTCTACCAGATGGCCAATGATTTTACCTACACAGGCAAATCTGGACTAGGAACTAAATCTGATTCCATGTCCCCTTCCATTCTGCTGCAAGACATGGAGCGTTCCTCTGATAGTTACATGATTTAATGTGTGTGAGTATGTACATGTGTTAGCTTGGTTAGACGCTATGCTGTAGTTCTGAATGCAGAAGTTTTCCACACCACGAAAATTGGCTACTTCACTTGTATCTGGCTAACCTGGTCAAAAATCAATGGCTTCCGGAAAAGGAGACCAGGGGAGTAATGGCAGAATCCAGGCACACTAGCTGCAGTGACAAATACCCAAGATGTCAATGAGTTGGTGGGACATTTGTGAGAAAATGTCTAGGGTAAGAGATTGGGAAATAAGGGAAAAGACTATTAAACAGAAAATGAAATGTTTTCATATCTCAAGCAACTCTGAGTAACCTTCATTTAGGCACACTGGAATTACAATTGCAGCTCACATTGTGAAAGAGGAAGTAGGGAATCTGACCGGGGAAAGTGATATTTTAAGCTTTAACACATACCGCTCATCACTGACTTGACTTGCAGCATATCTTTCAACAAAAGCGCACAGTGATTTAATCTCAACAATAATTCAGGCAGCAGCCATATGAGACAAGACTATCATTGCAGACAGGCTGTAATTTGTGAAATTCAGGTGCTGGGGATTAGGACCACCTGTTGAATTTAATCTTGGAGTTATAATGTTAATACCATCATGTAGCTGAACATAAACACTACATATTTATCAGTCTTTGGGACCTCCAGCTATGGTGATGTGAACATTTTCCAAAATAGTATCTATAACTCTCTCCAGGCTCAGTAAATCAACAACAAATAAAAAGTCTGCTGGAATTCTGATTCAATATGCAGCAGCATATGGCTTGGTGGACATCACATTCAACATATCCTATAATTTTTCTGAGACCTCATGTGAAAGTGAAAAAATATGCAATCTGAGTATCATTGGCACTAGAATGAGAATAGAAAAGCTTTCATGTCTTACCATGCCTGGCATCAACAGGAGGAAAATGTCTCCAGCAGCATAACAAATGATTTCAACCTCTGCTTAAGAAGACTATAAGAAAATCTCAAACAAAACCTAATGGACAGCAACTTTCAGAGAGGACCCAAACAACATTTTACAGATGTACCTTCGGAAGTGGAACTCTTCCCCAGGTCCAAGCAGCTAAATCGTAGTAGGAAAGGGGTTGAGTGAATGTACTCTGAGCACAGAAGTTTACATACAGTTCAGTGGGACATTTGTGATAATCGCTATGGAGAAGCCATGGTTTAATATTTGCTTTTGTTCCTTTGCTTACAGTGGTAGAGTAGTTTTGTTGACTCCTTTGGGTGTAGAATTTTGAGATACTGGCTTTCTATGAAGAATTTCATTGGGATTGATAATGGTCCAGAAGGACCCTTCTGCCAAGAATTCCAAGGGCTTTCACGCAATATTTGTCACTCACATAGCGTTTCAGTCTATAAAGCCCTTTTACTAGATTGTTTTGAATTTCATGTATAATTTCACATTAAAAGTATTATGAATCTCTTCCCCCAAGCAGCTCAGCAAGTGTACATGTTGATACCCCTATTAAGCAAAGTTTTTTTTTTTTTAATTTTTTGACAGGCAGAGTGGACAGTGAGAGAGAGAGACAGAGAGAAAGGTCTTCCTTTTGCCATTGGTTCACCCTCCAATGGCCGCCGCGGCTGGCGCGCTGCAGCCGGCACACCGCGCTGATCCGAAGGCAGCAGCCAGGTGCTTCTCCTGGTCTCCCATGGGGTGCAGGGCCCAAGTACTTGGGCCATCCTCCACTGCCTTCCCAGGCCACAGCAGAGAGCTGGCCTGGAAGAGGGGCAACCGGGACAGAATCTGGCGCCCTGTTCGGGACTAGAACCCGGTGTGCCAGCGCCACAAGGCGGAGGATTAGCATAGTGAGCCGCGGTGCCCGCTTATTAAGCAAAGTTTTACAAGTAAAATGGCTTCTTAAGTTAGTCATTTCCACAATAGCCATGGAGAGCTCCCAAGTTCAACATCTTCATCATACATTAGTTACACATAAACAGCACATCCATCCATGTCCCGAAGCTGATGTCTACACTTTCCTAGAACTTCAGCCCTTATGGGTTGCTTGCGCAGGCAGACACAAAGTACACAGTCAGTCAACAACTAGGACAGAAAACTGAAACTGGCATTGTGAAACAGCTGGTCCTCTGCTTTGGGGTTACAGCAGTCTATCACCCCCTCCCATTTCCACCCCCCCATCCCAATTCCTTCCTAATGAACTTACTCCCTCTCATCTGCTCCCCTGTGTTCTTTCAGAACAAGTTCCACCTTTTCCAAGAAACTTTCCTTGCTCCTTCCAGAAGACTAATCTTTCTTATCGCTGCACCCCTATAGTACTAAAAGCGTATACCCAGCATTTACTATGCATTTATATATCAGTGTACCCATCCATGTACATCCCACGTTAGTTGCTTGTTTCTCAGGCATTGAAAGGTCCCTAAAGGCTAGCTCCTGCCTTAATTCTTTTGTACCCTCCAAATCCTTAGCATTATGCATTGCTCCAGTGAGTGACAACGTTTGATTGTCACTTTAAAAAAAGTTTGCTTTTTTTTGATGCCCACTAACAGTGATCTTTATGCACAAAGGAAGCAGCTGCTAAATATTACTTTGGTTCACAGTGATAGAATTTAGTAAAATAGCAAGTGGAATAACTGGGGGATTCCAGGACATCCTCTAGCTGTAGAGCAGATACAGAGTGGAATGGTGTTTTAATAAAAACATATTAGCAGCTTCAGATAATGAGGAATACATTTAAACTGAATTAAAATATCTTCAGGATCAGAAAACTTGATTAGGATTCTCCCAGAGGTTTCACACACTGAAACCAGAGATTTATTATTCCAGCGAAAGAAGGCTCAATTTTAAAAAATTCATCTTATTAATTATTAGCCAAGCCATGAAGCCGCTTCCCGAAAGGCAGAGGAAAACAGGCTTTCAAGCCAGTGCAAGCTGTGTTTGTGCCTCAAGCCTTCTGCGGCCGCCTGGGCACCGCTCCCTGGGCCTGAGAAGGCGAGATCAGAGGAGCACCTGCGGTCCTCAGCGGCGGCCGGCCGCCGGCGCCTCTCGCGGTGGGAGTCCCGCTCGGGGTGGAGCCCCTGCCATCCCGGCTTCCTCAGACCAGGGCATGACTTGGTTGCCAGACCCGGAGCTTTCGCAACCGGACATACTCTGGCAGCTGCAATGCTGAGGATCAAGGGGTTCTAGATTCAGGGTTGGTTCCCTTAGAGGAATTGGGTTTGGGATGCACGCATCTCACGCCTATTCCTTGGAAAACTTTACACCTTTCTCCAAATAGGAATCCAAAGCAGGTCGGAACTAGCCCACCCACCCCGAGGGTCCACTCCCACTCCAGCCTCCGCGGGGCACCTACTCACTGCGCCTCCCAGCCCCGGGAAAGGGTAGAGGCTCAGGCGCGCGGGATCCCCAGGCTGAGTGGCGCGCGGGCTGGTGGGCGAGCCGTCACCTTGTGGTCCGCCACGCCGAGGTATCCATCCAGTGTTCGCGGTCCCGCGGGGGCCCCGGCGCCCGGCTGGGGGCTGCTCTCGGCCGCCGGTTGCGCGCTGCCGGTCTCAGGCGGCTGCTGCTGCTGCTGCTGCGGGGGCCGCTCCTTCAGGCCGCCAAGGCTGCTGTACACGAGCAACAAGCTGGTGCACATGGTGGTGAGCGCTAAACACACTGCCAGACCATGGCGCTGCGGGCGGGCGGGAGAGAGCAGAAGAGAGCTGCTGAGCGTTCGCCCGGAGGAGAGCGCCCGCCGGGGGGACCCCGGCGCGCCGCTCAGACTACCCGGAGGTCCGGGTCCTGGGTGCCCGGGGCCCCCTCTTCCGCGCTCAGCCGCGGGGCAGAGGAGGTGCTGTCCCCGCGCTCGGAACGGGATGCTCCCGGCGCGTCTCTGCTCCTGGCCGCCGCCGCGCCCAGATCTCTCGGTAGAGGGCAGGTGGTGCGCGGCGCCGGGCTGCGGGAGGGAGGGCGCGCCGGAGGCCAGGGCAGGGGTGGGCTCGCACTTTGGGAAAGGAGGCCCTGTACCCCAGCCTAGCTGCTGGCATCTTTAGCCTTGGCATCCCCTCTTTGCTGGACCCCCAATAGCTCTACCACGGCGAGCCTTTTCAAGTTTTCCACCTGGCAAGGAAACCAAGAAAGTCTGCAAAGGTACCCCTTACCCTCCCCTCTTAGTTTTTGCCAGGCTGTTGCTTTGGGGCATCTCTCGTACCCGCGGCGTCCTGCAGCTCCTCCACCACTCCTGCTGCTTTGAGGCCGCCCTTCGGACCTCTCGCGGGAGAGCCAGGAGCCCAGGCAACCCGAGTTCCCATCCCGGCTCTGGGATTCCCAGCCAGGCGCGGCCGCGGATCGGGAGGCGACGCGGAGCAGGTGGAAAGTTGTCCCTTTGTACCGGTCGACCTGGCGGCGCAGGGTTGGGCTCCCCCAAGGCTCCCCGGAGCTTCCCAGGGACGTTGAGCCCGTGGATCCCCGCCTCTGGTCAGTGGAGTTGCCACAACTGACTCACCATCAGGGTCTTCATTTTGGGCACCTATTTTGTGCGGAATCCTCAGGCACGCGCGTCCGGGGCCACTTTTTCTTGGAGGGTTTCCATGGTGGGTGATGGGGCGGAGGTGGCTCCGATTCTCGCCCGCGGCCGGCCGCTGCTGAGCGGGCGCGGGAGCGGCGGGACCCGGGAAGCGCCGCTGTTGCAGAGATTAGAGACAGAATTAAAACTGAACCGGACCCTCGTAGTCTCTCCGTGATCTACACAACTGCCGCCTGACGCCGCCTGCTGGGTCCTAAAGACCTCTGCATCCCCCCTCCCTGCCCCCCAAATAATAATCCGTTCAGCAGACTGAATTTCTGGGGCGAGAGAGTTAACTGTGCCAGTGTAGCCACTTCTTGGTCCGAGGGCTTATTTATCTTTTATGAAGTCATCAAGTGAAAAAAGGACGGAGGACCTGGCTGCATTCTGAACATGATAGCCATTTGAAAATTTTCAAACTAAATTTCCTGTTTCGTGGTTTGCATAAAAACAAGTCAACCTCCCAAATGCCAAAAGCTCTATTTATGTTTTTTTGTTTTTTTGCATTTATGTTCATAGCTTGGAGAAATCTATCACGAAATCATTTCTTCTAAAAAATTATTGATTAGCTCAGTTTTCCTATGTAAGCATTATAATTTTCTCTTTTCCCTTAATTTTATTTTCTTAAAGCCAGTTATTCTTATGCAATTGTTAGAGCACCATTTTCATCTAAATTATTTCATGTATTATTTGCTTCAAATATTGTACTTTATATTTTTACTCAAACTTCAAGGTTTCTAGCAGTGTTCATCCCAAGGATTTTAAAGTTTTAAAAACCTTCAACATATCATATCTACATGAAAAACTGGACCTATCGATTCTTCCTAATTTCAATGAGGACTTTCTGGATACTGGAGATAAAGCTGCCTTTGGTTTATTTCATAAGAATCCTAAGGCCTTTGGTGCTGGCTTTATGTTGATTCACTGCATTGATGGTACATGATTTCACATTTAGAACTTCAATTAAAATAAAAGATGTAACTTGTTTTATGTTGGGCAATTCACATCAATAGCCTGTTTTAAAGATACTTTCTTCCCTGCATTGAATTACAAATGGCATTTGTTGAATGTCTAATTTAGCTAAAACCATATTTCTTGTGACATTGCCCAGTAAAAACAGTTGTCTTAATATATTACTTAACACTTCACCTGTAGCAATGTAATGTTAAAGATTACATTAAGATGAAAATAATCAACAGGCCAACTGAACCATGGGCACAATAAGAGCGTTCTCAAGGCCAAAAAAGGCATTACAATCCTTTTTTAATCTTCACTAATCTACTGCTAGACTGATGATACAACAGTAACTATTTTTAAGCTTTGAGGCATTTATCCATACTTAGTATTAAGAAAGTTAAAATGAATGGTGCGATAATGAATATCTAGGCAACATATTTTGGGAAAGGGCAAGAAATACCCAGTATTCGGCCTTTCAGGGAAAAACGAAAAATTCAAAACACTGTCCAACATTGCCAGTCTTGAAGCTATTTATTCAATTTGTGCTTTAGGCATGAATAGTACCCCTTGTTAGGGCAGGCAGAGCAGCAGCCAGAGGAGAATCTTATCTGGTCCTGGCAATTCTTTATTGTATGGTTGCACTTGACACTCAAATTAATGAAACAAAGAGCCAACTTGATGAATCATTGCAAGCAGATTATCTGTGTTTCTCCAGGGCTCCTTTTGAGATGCCACTAGACACAGCTCTTGCATTTTTCAGGATTGTTCTCCCCTCATCTAGCAAGTTGTCCAGTGACCGATAAAACACTTCTAATATATTTTGCCATGCCAAGCAAAGGCATCGTATTGATGATTTAAGCTCATGGCAGCACATTGGACATCTGTTACATGGTATGTCTGACCAAATTCATTAAGCTTCAAGCTTATGCTTTCTCCCCCCTCCCGGGATAGAAGTTAGCTAGTTGCTAAATCTACTTATGAAATGGCCAAATTTAAAAATTTAATTCTGAGCTTTAGTTGAATGATTTCAAGGTCTTTGGTTTTCAAATATTTGATTAAATTGATGTGACACTTAGGCATTCTGAATGGAGAACCAAATGGAGGGAGGGCAGATAAAATAGAAAAAAGTAAGGAAGCTACTTCAATTCAATCATCATTTATCAATCACCTGCTATCTGGTGGCTCTGTGTTAAAACAGTACAGAGATGAACAAGACGTGTATTTTCCTCTAGGGGATCACAATGTTGTATGTGTGTTGACATACATTCGTGAACAGGGAATGAAAGACAATGCTATAGATTCAACGTATGGTTATCAAGCAACTATAACATTAAGTCCCTTCTATGTTGAGCAGCTAATGTGGGTCAAGCATTGGAGAATGGTTGGATCTACAAAAAATATAATGTCCTAAAGGAACTCACAGTCTATTCCCAGGTAGGTAAAAATAAAGTTTTATAAAGAATAGGAATAGCAGACGGAGGAAGGAGGATGGTGGGGTGGGAAGGATCAATATGTTCCTAAATTTGTTTATATGAAATGTATGAAGTTTGTATACATTAAATAATCTTTTAAAAAGGCTTTTATTTTCCAAAGTACTAGGAAGAATCAACATGCTTGACTTGCTCTTCAGCTCCCCTGAATGCCTGCTTACTTAAGATCTGAGGGGTTTGATGTTTTGAGGGCATTCATCTATGTTTATATAGCTTGATGCACACCTCTAACTTAATAATTTGAATAACCAGAAAGAGCAGAAAATAGGCAGCATTCACTAACACTTGATTGACTTAGAGACAAGTAGACAGGTAGACAAGTCAATGAAGCTTTTTCAGTTCATCTAACTTGCATAATTCAACACAATTTGCTCCTCAAAATTCCAGTAGCTGAGATGGATTTCTCACCATTTAAAATTTTGCCACACTTAAGCCTTTGGTGCCTTCACATCCAATCAAATCGATTTCTACTTAAAAAAAGGAAAGAAAAGGAATGGAAAATAAATTGAATGTTCCACAAGGTAAGTTATGTGATAAAATGAAGGTGAGAATTTATGAAACCAGGCATGCCATGAGATGATGAGGGAACAGGTGGGATCCAAAGCTCAGAGGGAGTGCTAGCCTATGCGCTCAGCCACAGAGGCTCCCCAGAGCTACCAAAGGAGGAGGGAAGACTCCTGGAAATCTGTCAGCCTTGCCCACAGTTCCCAAGTGACTTCTTGAATCAGAAACAAATGTCTCAACCATTTCAAAGACGGATGAGAAGCAGACAACATGGTATTAGCAGTGTTTGAAATAAGACTGCTTTCTATCTTATGATCTCAAAGGAAGAGAAGAAAGTTGTGCTAAAGGCAACAACAGCAAAACAAACAAACAAACAAACAGCTTAATAATGGCAGAAAGTCTTGAAACAAATTTGATGCGTGGCCATTTGTGTTCTGCCGTGTACATAACAGTCTTTGTTTTAGAGGCCAGGCCAGGAGGGTTGGTTGGTTGAGAACGAGTGCCTGGAACCAGGCTGCCGGGAACGTGGTTCTGACTTTACCACTTACGAAAGTTCCATGACCTGGGGTGTGTTACTGCTATGCCTTAGTTTCCTCAACTGCCAGACAACAGCCACCTCAAAGCACTGCTGCAAAGGTTAAATGAGATACTACAAGGGAAGCATCTGGGGTGACAGCTATATCTTGTTAATAGTACTTTATGATTGTGATTAATTGACTGCATTTAAAGCCAAAACACCAGACTTGAGCTTTATTTCTAATAGCTATATAACCTACAGCAACGAACCTAAAACTATATTAAGTTGTTAACTTATCTATAAAAAATAAATGAAATAAATTTCCCAAAGGCTTACTAAGATACTGTATATGGTACTTTTTTGTAATTGTGAAGCTTTGCATATGCCAAGGTGATGATAACTCATTCCTTATTTCAACAAATATCAGGTGAGCATCTGTGTGCCAGGTTTTATCCTAGGTGGGTCCTACAGATGTGAAGAAGCCCCACCAGAGTGCTTCCCCATGAGGCTTAGCATTCAAGAAAGGGCTATAAACCAATAGAGGATGTCAGACCCTAGGAAGAAAAGTAGACTAAGAATTTAGAGCTGGAGGTGTCTGTTCTGTTTTGGTCAGGGTGGTGACAGTTGAGCAGAGATGTGGATGAAGTGAGGGAGTGAGCCATGAGACAATCAGTAAGAAGGACATTCCATGCAAAGGGAACAGCTTGTTCAAAGGCCACAAGGTAAGAGAGCTTGCTGGGTATGTTAAAGAGACACAAGAAGCTGAAGTGGGGGAACCCAGAGGGAAGATTGGAGTGATAGGGGCAATGAGATAGTTTAGGACCAGATAATCTTGGACCTTCTAGGCCATGAAACAATGTGGAGAAAATCTATTGGAGGGTTTAATGCAGGCAAGCATCATGCTTCATGATGTTTCAGGAAGATCACCTGGCTGCTGTGATGAGAATCACTTTGGGGAGAGGGAAGAGTAGAACCAGTGAGATCAATTCTGCTATTGCAGTAGTTTAGGGAGGAGGAGGTAATTTCACTTTTAGAAATGCTGAATTCACAATTGTGCTGAATGATGGATATAAGATAGAAGAAGAGAGGAGACAAGGAAATCTGCAAGATTTTTGGGCTGGGCTATTTGGAGAATGGAGCTGTATTTCTGATATGGAGAATGCAATGGAAGAGGCAGGTATTAGAGGCCATGAATGAAGAACTTGGATTAGATGTCCTCAGTGTGAGATGTCTTAGGCAATTGCAGTTCAGGCTCAAAGGCACATACGACTGAGAGCCAGGACCCAGAAGAGAAAAAGTTACAGGCCTGAGCCCTGGCAGGTCTAAAAATTCAGATGACAAGACAGGAGGAGTCTTTGTAGTAATCGTAATACTGAAGTATAGTAAATGACTATCTGAACTTGATTTGATTTAGGTGGCTGACTGTTTTCATTTTGAATGGGTTTTCCATGCCAAGGCAGTTAGTCATTTATGTTCTCAAAGCACTTTCAAATTCTATTATTGTGCCAAGCATATTTGGTCATGTTTATTTATGTATTTATTGTTGATCCTCCCTTCTCAACTATAAATTTTCTAGAACTAGGACTATGTCCTACTGCTGTTTATATCCACCAAGCCTGGCATAAAACTGAGGATAATAATATTAATCACTAACAATTTATCTAGCCCTTACTATGAGCTAGTGTTATTCTAAGAATTTCACATCTGTTAGTATGTAAAACTGATTTAGTCTCCACAACTACAGTAAGATGAGCACTATGAATATCCTCAGTGCATAAATGAGGAATCGAATGTCTGTCCATCATGTATCCAAAGATACCCAGAAAGAAAGTGCTAGCATTGGGATGAATAAATACTTATTAAGA